ATTATAAAAAAAAAACATCGCGAACAAAATCTATTACTGCGGTACTGCGGTACTGCGGTGTCAATGTTTCGTGATGTTATGATTTCGACAAACCTTCCGAATGCGAAACAGGAAACCCAGTGGTTAATCACTCGGCGTTACACAAGGCGGTGAGTCACGCCTGGGATCTAGGAATCAAGTCAGACCTAAATCAGACAGTTAAATGACGCCACTTGACAAAGAGTGCTCCTATTGTCGCAATAAGCCTCTTTGCGGTGCCGTCGAAGAAAAATGGTGAGAAATGGTGCGGGGGGGGGCATATCCTTCGCTGCAAATTGCGTGTTGATCCCACCCGTAGAAGGTCCGCCACTTCTACTACGTAATATTCCCCTTCTTCGACCTTCGACCTCATCGTGGAATCCTCTAACCCCACATCTTGGAGTGAGCGCAGCGGGAGTTGTTCAGTGGATGAGAGGTAGGAAAAGAAGATCCCATTTGCAGCCAGGAATGCTACTTGGTTTGTTTTAATTTACTGTTTTCTTTGTGATAGCAATTTTCTCAGCAGTGAGAAGTAGTGTCTGCTGAGTGAGTTGTTTGAGCACTTCAATTTCCATATTTGTAACTTTACGGAAGTACCCGTATGCTCCCTATGTCATTGTTTTTATGCATTTGTTCAGAGTTCTCCGCCCCGTGATGTGCGACCTGGAAGAGTTTCTCCTGATTGGGAAAGGTACTATCCCGAGAACGACTTCACAAATTGGGGTGGTGGCAATCTCGACCAGGTTGTGATGGGTCAGCCGCCATGCTTTCTTAAAAGTGAGCCGGCTGACGAGCTGTTGGACCATACGTATCATTCCCGTCGTCTCATGTCAGATTCTCGCAGTTACCATCATTATGATCCTCATTCATTTGATTATTATGATTTTGCACCTCCTCCACAAAGGTATCATTTCGGGCGTTCATCGTGGGAATACGGTGAAAGTTCTCGAGAATTCAAATATGCTCCTGTTGAGCATGTGTATTGTGTAGAATCTGCACGCCGCTATCCTGCACCCACACCTAGTTATGTTTATCCTGATTCTCACTATTATGAAGGCGATTTACCTCCACCACCTCCACCTCCCGATTTTGAAGATCCACGTGTAACCCGTCCTATTCCTTTTCCTCGTTAATAATAGATCATTCATTTTGTGCGGAAGCCGCTTTGCTTATTGTCTTTGATTCATGCGTTGCATCGAAAAAATGTATCCAACTTTTCTACTTTGTAACTCTCTTGATATGGTTAGCGCTCAGTGCTACTATCGATTCCAAATCACTATGTTGATCTAATATTTTTGATGGTTGTGTTTTATGTTGTCATTGCCCGTCACTATCATTCCGGAGAGGGTCTCATTTTTGCATGCTTTTTGTCTTCTTCTATTTCTTAAATTTGTTTTCATGGAAACATTATTATGTACTCTTGTTAAACGTTGTTCAAAGTGATGTCTTCGCTAATCTGGAGAGTATTGACGTTTTGCGTACAAGTACATTTACTTGGATTTGATTTGTAGGTGATGTGTGTCTGAACATTTTCGCAGTCATTTTAGGTATTAAGCCTACCATTTTCCACAATTAGGTTCACGGCTGGCTGTCGAAAGGTCGTTTACCATACCTGGTGAAGAGTGAAGGTAAGTGTGGTTGAAGTTTGAGTGTCCGGATTCTTTTTTTTTTTGAATGATTGATGTGTAGCTGGCGGTTATTTAGGGATATGAATGTGGCTCTAGAGATAGTTGACCGAACTACGCACAAGATGCTCAACTGCAAGGTTACGCTGCAGAGTTGGCTGCTGTACTGATACATCATTGGAAAACGGGAAACTAAGAATGAAGAGGTCGGTCATTGCTAGCAAAACTTCTCAGTTAGATGTTGCTGCCTCTTCTCGGTTTTGAGGAAAACCAAAATTTTGTCGTAATTGCTGGGAACTCAGTAAGCTCCCCCACTTTCTTCACGATTTGGGGCGCGGCCGCGGCAAACCCGGCCGAGTCGATAGTGCCCGCGAACTGTGTGGGTAAATTTGAAAACGCATCACCACCACAGTTCGCGGGCACTATCGACTCGTCCGCGCTCGCCGCGGCCGCGCCCCAAATCGTGAAGAAAGTGGGGGAGCCGCTCAGAATGTTGGCTGGTACCGCAACGTCAACGTACTTCTGCTTAACCTCAGCAAAGCGAGGCATCCGTTCTTGTACATCTTTCATTAGCCGGCAATCATATTGAACGGTTCACTCTTTTCAGCCGTGAATTTTTTTCCATGTGAAAAAAGTTTTTCTGGCAATTGTTTATTACTTGTGAGTACCAGGTGCTTGTACACCTTAGATACTGTTTTTCCACACCAATCTTTAGGCTCTGTAGATTTCTCAATGGCTTTTCTCATGATCGAGTTTTGAGCGAGCTGGCAACTTGGTGCACACCTTTTCCCATTTTTCACGGTCTCTGGCCTGATGTGGTATGACATAGTCTGAGATTTTAGCCATAGGGACAGCCATCTCGTTGCATGTCCCGCTTGCCGCGGGCGGAGCTCAGTTTGGCTGATCTGTATCTTGTACCTTCTGATCGATGTCTCACCTATTCAAACTGGGTCCGGCTTCTCTAGAGGATCACCATGGCCCGTATCCTATCCTCCCTCAGGGGATGCGTCCCCGCCGCTCGTCCTATCCTATTGTTGGTGAGACAGGGTTGCGAGCCAGCCATACTCAGCGTTTCTAGATTACGGACAGCGCGAGCCCTCAGAGAAAAGAGTGCTTGAACGGGGGAGGGTAGCTACAACATCACGCGTCCAGTGGCGGGTCCTATCACCCAGGCCTGCTTCCCCACCGTAGGATAGAATGGGACGCGTCCTGCTAGGGAAAGGATACGATACGGCCCATGTTACGGTTGTCGACTTTCGTGACAGACACGGACGGACAGCCTTAGCGTCTTTTGAAATGTACAGTAGGGGTGGTAATCTTTCGAAAGAGATGTCATCATGCTTGTAGTGCTCCATAGACGTTTCATTTATTGAAAATCTCATTTAGTTCACTCCAGCTCTAGTTTTTACGCGTAAATGCTGTTTCAGATGTCTATTTTTGCGTGACTCTACCCAGCTTCACAGTACTTAGTCGAGTCGCATGGTTTCGATTGGCACACGTAATGGTGGTATTTGACGCAGTCGTCAGTAAACCATGCAGATCTGGAACAGTGAGTTACTCATAGCATTTCGAAGTATTGTGAGTTATTAGGTTGTCGGAAGAAGTCTTTGGGCATTTTAATATGTATCTTACAAAATCGTGAGGAATTATATTAAAACATCCACTGTAAAGCGTGTGTGAACTCTGGTCACTGATTTCATCGGAGCATTCCTGCCATAATATTTTGGAGGGATTTGTCTCAAAATAGCTTATCTTCTTCACTGGAAGTATGTTAGACGGCTATTCCTATGAGGTCAGAAAGCGCGTATTGGAAACAATATGGCAAGGGGCAAAGGTGTTGCGATGTAGCAGCAGAATGCCTTTTGCGACATGGCAAATATTCGGTTCCTGCTGTAAGTTGAGAAAATTTACAGTATCTGGTCAGCCTACTACATTGATGACGAGTATCTCCTGAAGCTGTTCGGAAAGAGTCTCTGGCGCAATGCAAGGGGATTGGCGGACCTTCTCAGATGGCCGTACTGTCATTAGCTTTCGAGGGAAGAGAAATCAGACGAAAGGATATCTTGCATTCGAGCTGATCACCAGTATAAGCAGATTTGCCGGACCATCGAGTTTTCGCGAATCTCTTCTCCGTCCTTGAACTTGTTCAGCGGCCGATTCCAGTACGGGGCCACCTAGGCAGTAAACTCTAAAGCTGATGAGCTTCCAATATTGTTTTGTTCACTGTTTACATTTTCTATGCTATTGACGGACAGTTATAGGCAAATGGATGGGCTCGCCGGCACTGTGCTTGGAGAAACACGGAGGCGTTCTGACCCGCCAGTTGTGTTCAGCAGACCTAGCACTAACGGCGAAGTTTACGATCAGAGAGGCAGCGGGTTGGGATTATTGTAGAAGTGGGCAGCGGTGCCGGTTTGAAAGAAGAACAATGAGAAACGGTCGAAAATCCGGAGAAATGGGACCCCTTCCTTGTCCGTTGACTTCCGCATTGATGCGACCCTCTTCGATGCTACTCTCTTCAACGCCAAGATTTGGCTATGGTTAGCCAGATGGAGGGTTTCCCGACGATAGCGTCAGAGGGCCACGCTAGGTCGCCGGGGGCTATACTCCGCTGCGAATTGCATGTTGGTCCACTTCCCAGCGGTCCGCTTGTCTTTCAATTAGGTAAGTTTCTCCTTCTTCACCTCATTGTGGGATCCCCCTCTGAAGGAGGAAGTTGAACGATTCGGATCTACTCAGAGAGGATTTCTCCGAGTCTTTCGTTCCAGAAACATCCAAATTTATCAAACAAGTGACCTCCACTAGATACCCAGTGAAAGGCATTATGTTGGTGACAGTAATGAGGTACATATTTCTGTTTTGTTCACTGTACTTAATACTACAATTTGGGAAAAAGAACGGCCAAGACTTTCCGCAGGCTAATATTAGAACTAGGAAGGGCCAAGCGCAGGAAGTGTTGGTTTTCTCTCAATTACGATCACTCTTTGCAATTTCTTTTTATGTTCTTATTATTATCGGTTCTCATCTACATGAATCTTGAGCATGTGATTGGCCGTATCGCGCTGAAATGAGTTGTGTGCGGCCATATAGGTGAGCGAAGCAGTTATGAAGCAACAGCGAGATCGCCTGAAATTCCATTTGCATTTCTTCCTCTTTCACCTTTCTCTCTGTTGCTGTGACGCTCAGTAAAGAAGCAGGGGGAAGATGCTCCGATTTCGCACGCGTGTGCGGCGGGTGCCCCCTTGGTTGGTCTTGGCTTGATTTCCTTTACTTCCTTGTCGTTTAGGATTTTTTAGTTTCGTGAATTAGCAGCCGATTTGCTGGTGTTTGGACTGTGAAATGGGTCCGGGTTCCTAAACGCTGCATGAGTTTGGCCGACAATTCGAGGAAGAGGCGGATGAATTTGGAAAGCAGGAACAATAGTTGACGGTCAGTGGTGCTGTCAGAAACAAAAGAAACGTATCTTTAATGCCGATACACTTCCTCTAGGCACAGCTCCCTCCTTGGAATTTCGGTTGACCCGGAGCCCAGTTCGTGAAGCTGACCTTTAAAGGACGCATATATTTAGAGTTATGCACCAATGAGATGAGAAAAATTCGAATTTCCACTTTTTCTTACGTTTTCGGAAAAGTCTGCGCATTGTAGTTTCCTTGCCGTTTATCTTCCCTTTTACGGTCAATAAGTAACAAATATGTGCCCCAGTGTTATCGCAAGACATTGCCTTTACGCGATGTTCTATGGATGCCTTTCGTATAGAAATGTTGAGTTTTTGAGGTGAAGAATTCGGAGGAGTATCATACTTTTGGAGTAGTTCGGATCATGGAACTTAGGCCGATGTCACAGTTTGCGAATCGAGCGATTTGCTAGCGAATCCAAGCGTTGCGCCAGCGAATCGAACTTTGCGCCAGCGAATCGATCGATGCACCATCAAGTCAAACGCGAACTAGGTACTAGCGACTCAGTAATGGCGGGACCCAAAGTTCAAAGGAAGTCGCACTTTGAAACAGTCTTTTTGACAGTGGACGCTGTATTGGAAAAAGTAGCGGGCTTTCTTTTGAACGTTGGGTCCCGCCACTATTGAGTCGCTGGTACATCGTTCGACTCGCTGGCGCAAAGTT